TCTGATTATTTCTCTTTCTTTTTTTTCCATCAATGAAAGCAATCAAAACTTGCGAACCAGAGTGGTAGATGAAATTTTGGAAAACAACAGCTGAACAGCATCACTTTGTTGGCTATTATTTGTTCACTTCTTGAGAAAGAAAATCTCAAATTAACCACTCAGGTAATCTTTTTAACAACTTAAATCTAAAATTCACCACTTAGGTAATCTTTTTAACAACTTAAAAATAAAAAATCTCCCTTTAATTATTAACATATTATGTAGGAAGAAAATGACTTCTCCAATATTAAACTTAAAAAGAAAAAGGAAAAAAGGTTAGCAAGTATTAGATGTTGTTATAAAGAATATTGCACTCGTTATTTGAATTTTACATAAAAATAAATTATAAAATAGACATAAAAATAAAATAGTATAAATTATTATTTTTTAATCAAGTAAAAATAAAAGGGTTTGGTTTGGTAATCTTGATTAACCATTTAAAAAGTCACAAATAACTATTTTTCTTTGGCCATTGCTTATCTCAAAGTATAATAGCACACGTGATAGTGACATCCAAAGATTTCGTACCAAAAATTTAAGTTACGAGATGACAGATATTTAGGTTTTAATAATTGATTATTTCACGAAATTAATTCAAGTGTTGAAAGACTGTCGATTACAATTAATATATTTGCTTTAATGACACTTGGCCATATATATAGATGGCGATACCGACCAACGTCAACTTGGAATAAATTTTTAAAATTTTAAAGGGAAAAATAATTTTTAATAAAATATAAAAAATATCTGTTAATTTAAAATGACATGAATTGATTTTTTTTTACTTTTTGAAAAAAGATAGCATTCCAGGTTTTCTGGCTTAGTTTTTAGAACCCAGTTAATATATGGATAAATTATAAATTTGGTAACTGAATTTTACTATCTCTCTTATTTTACTCACTGTACTTTAAATCTTTTTAATTTTCTCACTGAACTTAACACATTAGGTTTTTTGGTCATTTATTTGTTTTCTCACTAATGAAATTATTAATCTGCTTTTATATAGATGCAAAACGACTTCGTTTTGGTGAATTTTTTTTTTTCAAACAACGTCGTTTTAACATCATTAAATATTTAAAGACACACGAACCAAGTGACCTATGTGTTAAAAGAATTGTTGTTATTTTTCGAGGACCCGAGTTTGAGCATCGTAGATGCCAGGGGTGTGAGCGTTCAATGTCAAGAGGTTGAGAGTTATATTTGAACAGATATTGCCTTGTACTTACCTCATATTAATCAAAAATATATATTTAAAAGCGGAGTGACAAAAAATCTAATGTATTAAGTTTAACGAGAAAACTGAAAACTTTTAAAGTTTAGTGAGTAAAATAAGAGAGAGAATAAAGTTGAGTGATGATATATGTAGTTTACCCTTAATATATTAAAGTGATGTTTTCTCACTTATGGAATCCTGAGTTTAAGTTCAAACCGAGAACAAGAGGATTTTGAAGTAAAAAAATAAAGAAAGAAAAATAAAAGCGCTTGGAGAAAGTGCTTACCTTTTTATTTTATTTTAGTTTCTTATGAATTATTTAGTTCGAAGATTCCTTATTTCTTTCTTCTTTTTCTTCACAACTAAGTACAATTTGTGACCCTCACCATATTTTTTATGTTGCCACTGCTAAAAAGGTTGAACTAGTTTGTTTTTTCTCATATGAGTTGTTATTATTTTATAAATTTATTTATAAAATATATAAGCATGGATAAACATATAAATTCATGTTAGACGAGCTTCTAAAACTGTGGAGAATAATAAACTTATAAAATTTGAGGGAGAGTGAAAAAAGATTATCAATAGAAAATATAAAAAATATCTAAAATGTACGATAATAAGAAAATTTTAGGGGCAATTGCCCTCAGCCCTTCTCTGTATATAAATATTGTAAACTTTTGAGCATTTCAATTTTACCCCAAATTATTACTATATGTTAATCACGTTCACTGTTAATAAAATCGTTAGGTCAAGTTTTACTATTATATATTTTGAAAAAAAAATGTTAAACTACAGTGGAAATTAATTAATTTGAATGTTTGGGGATGAAATTAAAAGATTCAAAGGTTGAGGATCAATTTAGAATGAGGATCATAGTTTAGAGATAAAATTAAAATATTTAAAAATATGATGACTAATTCATAATGGAAAAATTAAAATATTCAAAAACTCAATGGGCAAAAGTGTTTGAATAATGCAATGGAATTTTTTTTTCACATAGTGCGAACAATTATTTATTTAAGTAGGGTGATTACTACAGTGACCACCATAAGTCTCCAGGAGCACATGGCGACCTCCATAGGTTTCTAGGAGCACACGGCGACCTATGGAGCACTTGGTCGCAAGAGTTACTGCAACAAATGAGGCTTTGTCGCAAGAAGCACTTGACGACCTATGAAGCACTTGGCGACCAATGAGATTACTGTAGCAAACACCACAATTCAAGAAATAATTTGGGTAGAACTCTACATAAGGAAAATTTTTTTCCAACGCCCTACATGGTCTAGGAAGCCAACTCAATGACCAGTTTAGAATAAGAATCCTAGTTTGAGGACATATAATACAATTATCTCTATTTGTTTTTATAGATTATTGCAAATTGAATTTTGGTAGATGAAATTAAAATAATTAGTGTTCTTCATATTAATTATCGCAAGTTAATCCACGACTAATACATTTGGTATTAAATGGACAAATTAAGAATAAAATCTATCACAATTCTTCTGGTATTTATATATGTCCTCTCACCTTTGGAAATATTCTTATTTTGCGATTGTGGAGAGTCACTAACATAGACGAATAATTATTTAATCTATTTTTACAATAAATCAAAACCGTTTGTGGAGAAAATTTGCATTACCAATGCATCAAATAATATATATACACACACAAGGATATATATTCGATCAAAACCTGATAGATTTTGATTCGATCTTATACATTTGAATTTAAAAAAATTTGGATCCAAGTTGAGTTTTTTTTAAGGATAAATTTGGGTTGGGTCGAATTTTTATTTAAGATGAAGAATAGTTAATATGACTCGACTCGAGAAAAATAACATAATTGGCCTTTATATATATTTAGGGATAAATATTATAATACCCTATTATGTATGATTTCCCAATTAGGTTCCTATCACCTAATAAAATTGATAATTATATATGTGTTTTACCTTAAAAATCGAAATAAGTTTTAAATCAAATGAAATTTCTCTGAATTCAGATTGAATTAACTGACGGGTGAATGAACGTTATACTCAAATCAACTTTGAATGGGTCAAAAACTTGACTCGTGATATTCTTGTATTTTTATAATATCACTTAAGTTTTAAATTTCATATATGTCTTTAAAAAATAACAAATGTGTATGTTTTGTATTTTTTTATTATATCTCATAAAATATATAAATTTCACATGGAGTATATTAAATAATTTCCATATATTTCTCCCATTTCCTCTTAAAATTAATAGCAACCCAATAGAAATATATAAGCCTGTTTTTGAATCATTTAAATTTCCAACTAATGCTTTTTTCAGAATAGTTATTTATAATTGATTAATTGTATTAGTTTAATTGAAACTAAAGTTATTGAAGATTCATAAAGATTGAGTTCCATTGTATATATGATAAGGGACCAAACTCATCAAATAAATAAATAAATAAATAAATAAAATATGTTAGGCAAGTTAAAAAAATTAGCTGACCCTATTCTCATATGTAATGAGGTGAGGGGGAGGTAAGGTAGTAGGATGCCCCAACGGGTTGAGAGCAGCTTCCGTGGAAGACCTCCGTCAGTCAGAATTATGAATTGCCCAACGTGGGACACAATCCCATGACCACAGGGTTAAAAGCCTTGCGCTCTACCAACTGAGCTGGACGGACAAGTTAGATAACCATAATTTATTAGGTTTAAGTTTAAGTTTGGTTTGCTTTAGTTAACTAATAGAGTTCCCAATTTATTTCATGTTGCATAATTTGAACTTTCTCAATTAAATTAATTTTTTTAATTATCTAGTCTCTATACATTGAAGTGTCCATTAAATTCGTCATTAACCAGGCATTTAATATAAATAGTATTAAATATTCATGATACATTTTCAAACATGTTGAATTTATTAGTGGGCAAATTTCAACATTTTAATCTTCATCTTCACATGAAAATTATTCTACAAGAAAGTAACTAAAACAAAATATGAAACACAAATTAAGTAATATATATTATCAATAACGGTAAAATAGGCCCTAAACTATCATTCAAATTTCAAATAGGTCCCCATACATGTTTTAAGATAAAATATGTTTAGATTTAATTATTATGTATAAATAAATACACTTGAGTTAGATTTAAGTAGACATTTACCTATGCTAATGGTTGATCCAATAGAAGAACTTAATTAATATAAAACTTTAGGGTAAACTATTTGAATAGTCCCCTATGTTTTCGGTCTGACCGACTTTAGTCATCAATTTAAAAATTAAGGGGAAATGGTCCCTAACGTTATTGATCCGTTTGATTTTAGTCCCTCAGCTTTTAACTCCCGTTTGATTTTAGTCCCTCAACCATGTTAGGGACTTAAACAAAATGGACTTAAATAAAAAGGGGTTAATGGGAATTAACAACGGATGAACTTAAATTAGATGGACCGATAATGTTAGGGACCATTTACCCTTAATTTTTAAATTGATGACCAAAGTCGGTTAGACGCTAAACAAAAGGGACTATTCACAGAGTTTACCCATATTTTTGAATTAAAATATGACTTTTTAAGAACTGAAGGAGCAATGAAAAATTAAACCACAGTTTAACATCCCATGCAATTAATTCTTATAAAACTAAAAGTAAATAAAATTATAAAAAATTATATACTAAATAAAAAATGTTTATTATATATACACTTTTATATGCTTCTCTCCTAATCCAACTCATTCTTTCTCTCTCTAGAACGAAGGTTTTTTTAAGGAGGAAAAAAGGAAACAGTCTATTTTACAGTTCTCTTTGCCTCTCTTCTCATTTACACTTTCTTCCTTCAATCTCTTAAAGGCCCCTTTTCTGAAATCTTTTCTTTTTGGAGGTTAGGGTTTCGTTTTGAATACCCATTTCGGAGCTGTTTTTGCTGAGTAAGAGGAAGAAAAAAAGCTAAAAAGAGAAGCATTGCTCTATGGATCCGGAAGCCGGGTCTGTGATCCGGGAGTCTCGGCTGGTACTTACCTTTTCTTTCAAATTTTCGTTTTTTTGTTGTTTTTATTGACTCTGTGTTTCTCTTTAATCGTGTTTTTTGTTGTAGTTTTCGAATGTTTTGTTACCTTTGGATTCTGTTAGTTTGCTGAGAAAATGCTAAAGGAAAGAATAGGATTTCTGATTTTTGTTTACGTTGATAATAAATAATTTTTTGTGTAGGTTATTGAAAGGGAACTACATGTGATTAATTAGCTTAGTTTACGTTGCGTTTTGAAATTATTTTTCTTTTTACTTTTTTTTTCTTTATCCGTCAGTTTTTATTAAATTTGGTTTTTCTTATCCGTTTGTTCTTTTTTCTTGCTACTCTTAACACTATGTTTTAAGTAAGTATTACATTTATTTGAAGATTTGGAGTTCCAGAATCAGTGAAATTTTATATTTTATATTGCTTCCTGCAGTTAACTTGTTAACATGTTTTTCCCCCTACTAATGTTCCATTTATTGTGGATACCAGAATAATGGCATAACATTTTTGCATATTTTATCATGTTCAAAAAATGATAATGATGAGAAAGTTCTAATATGTTTGGTGCTTTTTTTACATGCAGAAATTTTACAAGTCTACTTTATGCCTAGCTTATCAGAGTTTTGGAATTGTTTATGGTGATCTGAGCAGTTCACCAATCTATGTTTACAAAAGCACGTTTTCGGGGAGGTTAAGACTTCATGAGGAAGATGATGAAATCCTTGGGGTACTGTCTTTGGTTTTCTGGACTTTGACTCTAATCCCTCTATGCAAGTACATTATATTTGTGTTAGGGGCAGATGATAACGGTGAAGGTGCTTTCAATGACCTGCATATTTTATTACCTGATTTATCGAGAAAACATTATCTGCTCTTTGTAATGATTTCCTGAAGGAGGCCTCATTCCTGCAGGTGGAACCTTTGCTTTGTATTCATTGCTTTGTCGGCATGCAAAGTTGGGTCTTTTGAGTCCTTCCAATGCACCTGATGATGATATATCTGCATATGACTATGGGCCGCACAGGAAGGAGACTGTAGCTAGTTCTATTCTAAAAGAGTTTTTTCATAAGTATCATAGTTCTCGGATTGTGCTGCTTCTACTTGTGCTCTTGGGGACTAGCATGGTTATTGGTGATGGCATCCTAACCCCATCAATGTCGGGTATTGTCTCTCTCTGAATGACTTAGAACTAGAATTCCTTTATTATTTTCACATGGATGAATCTGGAAGTTAGATATTTTACAGAGCATGTGATGCTGCTTTGCAAATGAACTGTATGGAATTTAATACGTATGTTACATGCTGATTGATTTACTAGTAATAAAAGTTGCATTTTTTTTTACTTATCAGTAATTTTTTTTACCCCTTTATGATTTTTTTTTACTAATGAGATGCATTTCTTATTCAGTTCTTGCTGCAGTTAATGGTATCAAAGTTAAGGCTCCTAGTCTTCATGGGAGTAAGTCAAATTAGCGTTTTCTATCTTCCTTTACAGTGTAGAATCCCTTCACTATTGATCAAGAGTCACTCACTTCGTAATTACATATATCTACAAGATAAACCCACCAGCATTTTTCCAGTTACTATTTGGAAATTGCATTTGGACAGGGGGTTCTATAACTCCCTTTTCAATGGAGCTAGTATAACCTGTGAGGAACATATATATATATATATATATATATATATATATATATATATATATATGCATATCCCTAATTTATCTTTTCTCATGCAGATTATACTGTGTTTGTTGCTTGTGTAATTTTGGTGGGGCTGTTTGCACTTCAGCATTTTGGCACTAGTAGTGTTGGATTTCTTTTTGCTCCTATTTTGTTAGCATGGCTCTTTTGCATTAGTACTGTTGGAGTTTACAACACAATATACTGGAACCCACGTATAGTACGTGCTCTGTCACCATATTATGTATATAATTTTTTCAAAAAGGCTGGAAAAGATGGATGGAGTTCTCTTGGAGGCGTTGTTCTTTGCATTACAGGTTCGCCAGTTACCTCTTTTGCTAAGCCTCTTCCAAGTAAGGTAATTAGAATGATGAATTTCCTTCTTGCAATTTATCAGGTGCCGAGGCCATGTTTGCAGATCTTGGTCATTTTTCCAAACTTTCAATCCGGGTAAGTTCTTATCTGTGCTTGGATTTGAATAATTTGGAAAAGAATTAGAAATATCCTACCTATTTTGCTTGCCTCAAGTGTTATAGAAGTCTTTGTGAATGTTCTTTTATGTATCCGTTTCGTAGCAAAGCATGATATTTATGATCTTTCTTGATTTATATTTACATATCTGGTGAACAGCTTGCATTTACTGTTGTATACCCTTGCTTAATTGTGGCATATATGGGCGAGGCTGCTTATCTCTCCAAGAACAAAGAGGACCTTCAGAGAAGCTTCTATAAAGCAATCCCTGGTAAATCTAACGACCAAGTCTTGTAATATTTAATTTGAGAGTGTCCATGTAAATTTGATATCTACTGTGTTTTTTTCAAAAGTCACATGTAAACCATATAGATTAGAGATCAAATTTAAAAGTTCTATGATATGGAAGGCTGGATGAGTTTAACAGCTTTCTGTTTAGGCTGGTCCACAACTGCACGGAAAAAAAAAGATATCTGGACTGCTTAAATTTTTAGATATGTGCTCCAATCAAATAACACAATTTTTTTAGAGGTTGTATTCTGGCCAGTTTTTATCATTGCAACACTTGCAACAATGGTTGGTAGTCAAGCAATTATTTCCGCAACTTTCTCAATAATCAGCCAGTGTAGGGCTTTGAAGTGCTTCCCGCGTGTCAAGGTGGTACACACATCAAACCACATACACGGGCAGATCTACATACCCGAGGCGAATTGGATCCTGATGTTTTTATGCCTTGCTGTTGTGGTTGGGTATAGGGACACTGACATGATAGGCAATGCATATGGTACAGTCTTGGGTGCTCTATCTCTTATATCTCTCGTCTCCCTGCAACTTACTTTCGATTTTGATTTGTTTCTATTCGTGTTTTAGGTCTTGCGGTTATCACTGTAATGTTGGTTACCACCTGCTTGATGTTTCTGGTTATTGTCATGGTGTGGAAGAGGAATATTTTTAGAGCTTTAGCATTTGCCATCTTTTTCGGATCTGTGGAATTGCTTTACTTCTCCGCATGCCTGGGAAAAGTTCATAAGGGGGGTTGGCTTCCTCTGATTTTTTCGCTAATAGTACTGTCTACGATGTGCATATGGCACTATGGTACTATGAAGAAACAGGCATATGAATCGAACAACAAGATCAACTTGGACATGCTTCTAAGCATGGGCCCAAACCTCGGGATAAATCGTGTTCCTGGATTAGGCTTAATCTACTCAAACGTGGCCACAGGCGCCCCTCCAATGTTTTCCCATTTTGTCACCAACTTTCCTGCCTTTCATCGTATCCTTATATTCGTTACGGTGCAATCTCTTACAGTTCCAAAAGTTCCTGCCAATCAGCGCTTTGTTATCAGTCGCATTTGCCCACCCGAGTACCGTCTCTTTCAATGCGTTGTTAGATACGGTTACAAGGATCAAAGGAAGGATAGCCATGATTTTGAGAATCTTCTCATCGAAACCATATCGGAGTTTCTACAGCGTGGCAACAATGATAGTGAAGCATGCTGGTGGGAACCTGTAAATCAGCAGGAATCAAGCACACCCGAGGATGTTACTGCTTCAACTCATGAGAGTGGAGTTAATACCGGATCGAGCAAGAAAACAGTGAGATTTCGCGGTGTGGGATGTAACAAGGAATTGGAAGATCTAAAAGAGGCAAGGGAATCCGGTCTGGCATATATGATGGGTAGCACCTGTGTTTTGGCATGTGATACATCTTCATATTTGAAGAAGCTTGCCATAAACTTCGTTTACAGGTTCTTGAGACAGAACTGTAGGCACCCGGCCACGGCCCTCGGGATTCCACACACCTCTCTGATCGAAGTCGGAATGGTTTATCGTGTATAGATCTCGACACAATCTTAAACAAGGAAGAGTCTACTTGTGCAAGGAAGAGTCTGCAAGCTGCAAATAATCAAACGAACTGCCTGAGTTTTAACACTGCTTTGTAATTAAGGCATGTAAATTTACATACAATTTTACTCTGGTTTGGAGAGTTTTTTTTTTTACAGATCTAAGCTCTTAGGAATGAATACGCAAACATGTAATTCTCTCTCATTAGAGTTAGAACAAGAATCGGCCCCATCTTTATGTAATATCTTTTCATTCGTTTAATAAAAGTTACCTATTTGGTCATTTGTCTATTATTTATTTTTGCTCATATTATTATTATTTTTAAAATTATATTTAATGTTATAATTTGGTTTTATTTTAATTATCTGTTGTCAAAATATTAATAATAATATTAATATTATCTTTTAAAATACTTTAAATATTAATGTGATATTATTTTATGGTGACACGTTAATATCACCAACAACGAAACTAAATAATAATAATGTGATATTATTTTACTGTGACACGTCTATATAGCCTAAAACTAAATAATAAGTGTTAAGTGAGTGATAAGTACGTAGTTTACCTTAAAAGTTTTTTGCTTACGTACCGCAGGCAAACTGGATTAGACTACGTAAAACATCTTATTGATTTACATGTCAACCAAAGTACAACAACCAATACAATATATCTCAAAAAAATCACACACACATATATATATATAATCAATAAAACAGAGAGAACAAATAATTTTCTAAAGAACCCAGAAATGAAAATCCAATTTTGGACCTTGGGTGCAACTTCAAATCCGAGATGAAACTATCAAACATTGGATAAATTGTCAGGCGCCTTGACGTGGGGAGGAGATGGTACCGGGAACGCGGTGGTTGCTGCTGATCCGGGCGGCGTAGCTGGGACGCCGTAAACCTGAGGGTTGGTTCGGAAATCTTGCCGGCCTTTAGCTCTTCCGAAGAAGAAACATCCGGCACCAAGTAATATGCAGAAGAAAATTAGTGGAAGAGAGATGACAATAACCATACCCATGTTAACTTCAGCTCTTACCGAATTTTCCTTGTTCTGTAAAAATTCTTGTTTGTTTTGTCTGAAAGAGGATTCGAGGGGACAGTATTTATAAAGAGGGTTTTGGATTCTTAAACAATGGAGAGGTTTCTAGTTCTGTCCAGGGTGGCGTGGATGAGGAGGGCCAGAGCTACACGGCGGGGACCTTTTTAAGTGCCAACGGTCTTCAGCTCAACGTTCAACCCTGCAACGGCTATTTTTTTATCTTATGGATTCATATTCGGCTTGACTTGATTTTATAGGTCGATTTTTTTTAAAAAAATCACTACAACAAATTTATTTATTTTTGACATCTAAAATATTGTCACTAAAACTTATATTTATGTCACTATTTATATTTTGTGACGTAAAAATTAACGTCACGACTAACGTCACCCTAGATGTGTCATTTAATTACAAATGTGATGATTTATATATTTGCGTCACGTATTGCTAAATATATAATGACAATAATAAATAACGTCATATTATAATTTATATTCAATGACAATTAATTATGTCATGGAATTATATAAAATATTGTCATTATTTATTTATATCGTCATCAATAATATAATAATTTTATTCTATAAATAACAAATATAAAATCTCCACAATTTTTTTATTGAAAATTTTAAAAATTATATAAATTAAAATTAAATATTTTTTAAATTACATTTAAGGACAAAGATTTTTATAAATTACAATAATGGGCAATTCTTTTTATAAATTATAATAGAAGATAAATCTTCTTATAAATTACAATAAAAGACAAATCTTTTTATAATTTAAAATAAAAAACAAATCTTTTTATAAATTACAATACTGACATATACTTTTTACAAATTACAATAATAACTCATATTTTTACATATAACAATAACAACCTATATTTTTACAATCACTACATTTTGATCCCTTTTGTGTAGAATACCAAAAATCAGCCCACATATCTCAACCTCGGTCGTCACCACTTCATCTCAGTCGCCATTCTAAAATCTTGTACATACAAAAAATTAACTAGAAGCAAAACATATTAATGAATTATCTTTATTAAATTTAATTAAAGTAATGCATTAAAAAGAAAGAATATTATATATTTTAGCAGTGCATATATGACCATAAAATAATAAAAAATTGTTGATTCAAATAATATAACATACGTCCAACTCCAATTCCAAGCTCCATCAATCATTGAGAGTCTTACTGCTTTTATTTACAATGTGTCTGACAAAATTATCAAAATATTATGGTTATAGCTCCAACCAATAAATTTTTCTTAACTCAACCAAAATATTGAAAAACAAATGAAATCAAATTTATAAAAAGTGAAAAGAAATACATTTATATGCAACAACATCCGATAAACAACACGACACAAAGACAACAACAATCCTTCAGATTTCACTATAATGACCACTTTTCCCCCGTTAAAATTATTGTTCAATCCTAAGAGAAACAAAAAGTTAAACCTCACTTTCAAGAAATGAAACAAACAAAGTAGAACAATAATATTATACAGTGAAAATGATATAGATGGGAATGGAAATCCAAGAACGAAAGATAGAATAGATAGTACAAAAGCAGATTTGAGAAGATCAAGATGAAGAACAATATAGCAGTTAAGATAAAGAGGAAGAGCGACAATAAAATATTTCATTCCCATTTTCACAATGCAAACCTTAAGTACGATTGGGGTTTTAACCCAGCCTCATATCCCCCACTAATAAAACAATAAGCATAGAAGTATAAGCCTCCAAATATATGGGAAAACACAGAAAAAGTTGAACATACAGAGACATTAAAGGTAAATCTAAACAGAAGCAAACAGAGTAACCTATTTTACAAGATTTGAACTTTCCCTTGTGTTGATCTCTTATCTTTATAACTCATAAAACCCTAAACCAAAATACCAAGAAATTTTCTTTTCTAAAAAAAAGCTCTTACTTTTCCAAGCTCAAATGCCACAAAACCAAACAAAAAAAGAACGAACCAACAATCGAATATCCATTTTCAATCATCTCCTAAGAAACCCAATCCTTCATGATCTTAATAAACCAAAGCAGATAATTGCATAAATATTATGAAACATCAAAACAGAAACCCGATACTGCAAGAAAATTAGGGAAATGAAAAAAGGGGCATCTGAAAATGGCACAGAAATGAAGAGAAACCCTCTCAACTAAAACATAAGAATGCCCTAAACTGAAAAAAAACCAAGTTTTTTATTGATGAATTCTGTCAAAATATTGTCGAAAGTAAACTCAAATCTAAAAAATCAATAATGGAAAATAGAAAAAATTATGCGTGAAAATTTTAAAAACACATGAAAAACCCATAAAATAAATTACCATGGTCTCAAAAAGGGGAAAATAATGAAAAACAAAGGAAATGAAAGAAGAAAATAGGAGTAGAGATGAACAAAAGGGAAAGGAAAAAAAGAGAACATACCTGGAACGGCAGAAGCAAATGAAGAAGTTAAGAAAAAAACCCTAAATAGCATATAAATAGGTAGTAGCATTTTCTAAAATAAATTTATATTTAACTTAAAGTAAACGTGCTATGATTTAAATTTGATATTATTTTTATTTTATTTAAATAAATTTTATATTATCTTTGTATCTCTTTCAATTATATGTTTATTGTATAGTTTAAATTAAAAAAATTATATTATAAATATATCAATATTTTTAAATAAAGTATTTTACCTGATTTTAAATAAATAAAATCATTTTTAGTAAGATTTAATTTTAGAGATTATTGTCTATTAAAAAAGTAGAGATTATTGTCGAACTTTTGATAAGATCGTTAATAATAACTTATTGTATAAAAAATTATAATTTTTTAACAAGTATATTACTCAAGAATCACCGTAAGATTTTTGTTAAATTGTTTGAGTTAAAAATATTCACTTTAATATGAATTTGTTTTATTTTAATAAAAAGAGAAAAATTTCAATTTGTTTATTAATATTAGCATATATGTGAGTAAATAAAAAATTTTAATAATTGGAATCGAGTAAAACAAGAGACATTTTTTATGAATGAGATTAAAATGAATGATTTAGTCTTTTTTATATAAAAAATTACACAAATGTGACAGGTCAAGCTCAACACGTACATGATCAATGTCAGGACCTATAGATGACCAGACCAAAGTCGCTAATTTTTATTTATTAAAAATAAATAAAAATAAATAATATTATAACATTTTAATTATTCAGAATAAGATATAAAAAAAACTTGTCAAAAAACATTAAGTGACATGATTTCATGATGTCATTTAAAATTATTATATAAAAAATAGGGATAACAATAATTGACAAATAATTAATTTCATCATGCTAAAATTAATTTTTGTCACAATAATAAAACATCACTTTTAATGTCTTCTAAATTATGACGAATCAAATTGTCTCGAATAAAACTAATTAGTGACAAATGTGCAACATCACTAATTCAAATCGAATTGTCATTATAATAAATCACCACTAATACATTTTTTTTCATTGGAGACGATTTTACAACGTCATCATTTTATATAAATGTCATTAAAATGTTTCTCACCAAAGTTTTTGGTGGAAAGATTTTAACGCCAAACATATAGTAACGAAAATCAATGACTAGATATATCATTAATCACTAAATATGACGAAAAGGAAAAATCGTCACATTATAGTATATATTGTGACGTTATACGCAACGTCATATAAAAATTTCGCCACCAATTAATAAATTTGTTGTAGTGAATTCAGTTCAAGTTAGAATCAAGTTTTTTTAAAGATATAGTCGGTTTTATTTAAGATTAAAATAAAAAAAATGATCCGATATGAAATAATAATATATATTTATGTCAGATCAAGTTATATGTAAGTTTTATACTAAATATCAATTCGGGTTTTGAGCTGGATAACTAGTGAAAATATATGATACTCAAGTTTACAAAAAATTCATCTCAACCTATCTACATTTGGTAGTGTTGTCAAAAAAGTTAATTAGTAAAACAAAGAATAATATAATTAAATAAGAATTTTGTAGTCATGGAGTGGTCGTGCCGGAGTGGCTACCGGGCACGACTAGATATCATGTCGGCTTCGCCGGCGTAGGTTCGAAATCTGCCGATATCATGCCGACTAGGATTGGGTTTGAGGAAGTCAAAATGGCTCTTAGAAAGATGGGGAGGGACAAAGCTGTCGGTCCAGATCAAATTCCTATCACTGTGTGGTTGGCACTAGGAGAAGAGGGAGTTATGTTCTTGACTAACATCTTTAATATTATTTTAGAGACTGCCAAGATGCCAGAGGAGTGGAGAGAGTCTACGGTGATACCAATCTATAAGAATAAAGGAGACCCACAACGTTGTGGCAACTACAGAGGTATTAAACTACTCAGTCATACCATGAAGCTATGGGAAAGGGTGATAGAGGCTAGGTTGAGACAAGTTACTGAGGTTTCAGAAAACCAATCTGGCTTTATGTCAGGCAGGTCTACTACGGAGGCGATTCATCTACTTCGACGGCTTATGGAGAAGTTTAGGGAAAAAAATAGAGGTCTTCACATGACGTTCATTGACCTTGAGAAGGCGTATGATAACGTTCCCCGCGATACGATCTAGAAGACCTTGGAAATGAGACGGATCCGAACTGCTTATATCTGGGCGATTCATGATATGTACTGTAGATCTACTACATACGTAAGGACTACAGTTGGCGACACCGATGCATTCCCGGTGGAAATCAGACTCCACCAGGGGTCGGCTCTTAGCCCTTATATCTTCGCCTTGATTATTGTCGACATCTATTGTGCGACACCAAAAGGTGTCCCATGGTGTATGCTTTTCGCTGACGACATTGTCCTAGTTGCTGAAACTAAAACTGATCTGAATAGTAGATTGGCTACCTGGAAGACTGCTTTGGAAGAAAAAGGTCTAAGGATCAATATTGAAAAGACATAGTATTTATGTTCAAACTTCAGTGGGAACCAAAACGATGAAGATGTAGAAGTATGCATAGAAGGGCACGTTCTCCCCTCAAAGGATTATTTTAAGTACCTAGGGTCTATGATACATAAAGATGGGGGGTGTAGATGATGACGTTACACACCGTATTAAGGCGGGATGGCTAAGGTGGAGGGCTGCTACTGGGGTTTTGTGTGACAATAAGGTGCCTTTAAAACTTAAGGGAAAGTTTTATAGAATGGCAATAAGACCAGCGCTGATGTATGGATCAGAATGTTGGGCAATCAAAAAGGATCACGTAAGGAGGATGGAGACCGCAGAAATGAGAATGCTACGATGGGCATGTGGTAGGACTCTGTGGGACATGACACCAAACTCTGCTATTAGGATGTTCTTGGGGGTGGTGCTTGTATCCGAAAAAATGAGGGAGGGAAGACTAAGGTGGTTTGGGCATGTCCTTAGGTGACAACCGTCGGATGCGGTCAGGAGGGTAGAGTCGATTACAATCGATGGTGCCAGAAGGAGAGGACGACCAAGGCAGAAGTGAGAAGACTGCTTGAGATCTAATTTGAAGGATTTAGCCCTTACCAAGGACATGACCTCTGACAGGAAAGTATGGAGACTTAAGACCAGGGTAGCCGAGTAGTGCGGGTCACATCCATTAGGTGTATCATCTCTGTCTTCTTATAATGCCTTTGTAATAATTTCCATGACGACTACTTTTTTTTATACGTTTCTGCCATTGAAATCTATGAAGGCTTTTAACTAGGGTAGTGGAGTAGTGTTGCCTAAGTTTAGGTTTTAACCTATTTGACTTTATTCCTTATCGTAACTTGATATGGTTGACTTCTGTGTATCATTCTCTTCATGTGTCCTTTTTTTACATTTAGCCAGGTCTTACGTTTCTGTCTATATGCAGAGATTTTTACGCACAGATTTATTAGCAGAGACTACTTCTCATTACAGACGCGCATATGAAGATTGTTCAACTATGTATTTATTTATTTATACATGCATTGCATTTTATCTTTATTTTAAATTTTTCTGACTGCCAGAGGTCTTCCACGGAAGCTGCTCTCAACCTGGCATTGGGGGCAACCTACTACCCTGCCTCCCCTTACCCCATTGCATATGGGAATAGGGTTTTGTTGTTGTTGTTATTGTTGTTGTATTTTTCAATGACAAAATTTTGAATAAAGTTGACGCCATCTTATTGCTTCAAAAACATTGGATTGAGTATGACGATAATGATGAATGATCGTAATAGCATCTTCAATTTACAACTATTGTCTTCATGCCCGAGTATCGTTGCCGAGTTCTCGATCAGCAATTGTTCTACTCTCTCTTTCCTGAACCGAAACATGAAGAATATCACATGGAAGGACCTAAGCTCTCACCTTCCTTCAATAATGTCACTGAAATCACTGGCATTTACTGGAAATAGAATCAGTGTCGCCTCTTGGCCGACGCCATCTTCGGGGACAATCCCTCCGGTTAAATCTTTAAAACTCCAGTCTGTAAGATAACTTGGTCTAGTTATAACGCCGATCATTTCAATATTTCCAACAAGCATAGACACTACACGCGATATGGGTGGCCACATCGACGGCGATCCCTAAGTACACAGAAGTGCCACCATGACCATTCGGAGAGCTTCGTTTTCATGGAAGTGTTTAACAGAAGATATATGTTTTTTAGGTCAAGTCGGATTTGAGTGAAAGATATATATTCTCGGGTCGAGTCGGGTTGACCAAAAACTCGATCTTAACTCGACTCGTTGTCATCCCTAGTGGACATCATCAGTAAAATAGATAATTAATCGAAAAAATTAATTTTTAAGATGAACATAATCAATAAAATAATTAATTAATCGAAGAAAATAATCCATTGTCCGCTAACAGCGATACATAAAGCAGGGTGGACTTGACTTGAGTTTCACTAATCATTAGTTTGAAAGATAATTAAGGTAATAACATAGTTAAATGAGAATTGTTTTTAGTGGTTTTTTTTTTTATATTTCAGCACTCGCAGGGTTTCTAATGTAGACATGTTCCCCATAAATGCCGGCAAAGGAACAGAGAAGAAGTTGTGATCAATCATCCTGCATCACCAAACAGTATATATGATTATCACCAGTTACTATAAAAACAAAGCTTTTGCTTAAGAAGATATTTAAAATATGTAATAATTTTGTATACATTCTTACAAGAATGTCGAAAAAGGTAAACCCAAAAGCTCCATTGGTATCACTCCTCGTATATCTAAACCAGATACAATCCTGACAAAAGTGTACCCAAGTACGTAAAGTTTTAGGGAGAAATGATGGTAAAGACTTGAATATATCGGAAGAGACTTGAATATATCGGAAGAGAGAGGGATTCTCTCCGGAAAGATATGCTAATATATGGTTAATATACGGTGTTATCGGATACATTATAATATATTTATAATATTCGATTTAGCGTTATCGGAAATGTTGAATAATAATAATGTAGTAGGTCTAAATCATGAAGAAATATTAAAAAATTTGGCAACCGGTAAACTT